GGGAAAAGCTCCAGCCTCAAAGGCTCTGCCAGCCTTCACCATTTTGTCATCAGCTTCACCAGCCAGCTGTTTGACACTCTAGTGAACTAAGCCTCATCTACTGCTTCCCCTGTCTTCCCAGTGCCCACAGAGCTAGCAAAAAAACAAACTAACTAAAAAACAGAGGACTACTGGGTTGAAACATGCAGAGTATTTTTTAAAAAATATTCAAAGAAAATTCTTTTTCAAAAATTGAAACTTCAAAAAAGGGGATCTATCCTGCCATTAATGTCATCCTAGATTTGGTGAAACATAGAATTGCCCTATATCAGTGGTTCTCAGCCTGTGGGTCCCCAGGTCTTTTTGGCCTACAACTCTCTAAAAACCCAGCCAGTTTACCAGTTGTTAGGATTTCTGGGAGTTGAAGGCCAAAGCATCTGGGGACCCACAGGTTGAGAACCACTGCCCTATATAGAAAATACTTATGCTTCCTCTGGAAATGAATGGCTACAGAGGAGGCCAAAGTGTGATCCATAAGGTCTATTTATAATTTCCTTTTGTTGTTGTTCATTCGTTCAGTCGTCTCCGACTCTTCGTGACCTCATGGACCAGCCCACGCCAGAGCTCCCTGTCGGCCGTTACCACCCCCAGCTCCCTCAAGGTCAGTCCAGTCACTTCAAGGATGCCATCCATCCATCTTGCCCTTGGTCGGCCCCTCTTCCTTTTATAATTTCCTTTACCCTTCCAGAATGTCCAGCCCATTTCCCACCAGTGATTTGTCTCATCCAGAAGTCCACCTAAACATGAATTCACTTTAAAAATAAATTGCATATCCATATGGCTTCACATAAAAAATACATTTTTTTTCAAAATCAGTAGTCCCATCTGTGTAAATAATGCACATGCCACCACTCATCTGATTCCTCCTTTAAAGAAAGGTGGGGGTCAGTGTCTATTCTTTATATTTGTGATTGTGGTCATGTGGCCAGTGCATGCAGTGTTTTTAGAACAGTGGTTCCCAACGTATTGTCGAAGGCTTTCATGGTTGGAATCACTGGGTTGTTGTAGGTTTTTTCGGGCTGTATGGCCATGGTCTAGAGGCATTCTCTCCTGACGTTTCGCCTGCATCTATGGCAAGCATCCTCAGAGGTAGTGAGGTCTGTTGGAACTAGGAAAAAAGGGTTTATATATCTGTGGAATGACCAGGGTGAGACAAAGGACATCAGAAGAGCTGCAAGACCAAGAACAAACCACAAGAATAAAGACGAAGATCCACCCAGAGGAAAAGTGTTCTTGCCATACATCAAGGGAACCACTGACCGCATAGGGAAGCTGAGGAGGAAACACAACATACAAACTATCTACAGACCCACCAAGAAAATCCAACAAATGCTACATTCAGCAAAGGACAAGAGGGATCCTCTCACTTCTGCAGGAGTCTACCGTGTACCATGCAGCTGTGGACAAGTCTACATAGGGACCACCAAACGCAGCACCCAAACACGAATCAAGGAACATGAAAGGCACTGCAGACTACTTCAACCAGAGAAATCAGCCATAGCAGAGCACCTGATGAACCAACCTGGACACAGCATTTTATTTGAGAACACAGAAATGCTGGACCATTCTCACAACCACCATGTCAGACTACACAGAGAAGCCATTGAAATACACAAGCATGTGGACAATTTCAACAGAAAGGAGGAAACCATGAAAATGAACAAAATCTGGCTACCAGTATTAAAAAACTCTAAAATTGCAGCAGCACAACAACAGAGAGGAAGCAGGCAGGGACATCTAATTACCTCTCAACAAAAATTTGCTCCAGGCACAGTCAGCCCATTGTATGCTAATCAAGGTGGTCAGTTGAAACATTCACACCTAGCTCCAGCAGACAAGAGTCCTTAGTCTCACCCTGGTCATTCCACAGACATATAAACCCTTTTTCCTAGTTCCAACAGACCTCACTACCTCTGAGGATGCTTGCCATAGATGCAGGTGAAACGTCAGGCGAGAATGCCTCTAGACCATGGCCATACAGCCTGAAAAAACCTACAACAACCCAGTGGTTCCCAACCTTTTTTTTTTTTGACCAGGGACCACTCTCCAACATTAGTATCAAAAGGGTTACAAAACAATTTATGGTCAACTTTAGATTTGGTTTGGTTATTTGGAGTGCTGATTCAGGAAATTGTACTGGATAAACCACATCAGTTCTAGTTTCTGATACAGAACCATCCAGTAGTTGCCATATGCTCGCCCACAGAAAACCATATTTAATAAGCCTCGGCACTATAAGAGGGTTTCGCGAGACCAGTCGCTTTCGTTGCAACAGTGCAGTAACGGTGAGGCCGCAGACCATATTTTAGTTCTTGCGGACCACTGGTGGTCTACAGACCACAGGTTCGGAACCACTGTTTTAGAACTAAGAAAACTTAATGTTTGTGATATGGATACTTGCTTTCATTATTCTGCAAGTTATTGTACTTTTTGGAAACTCACACAAGAATGAATCTAGTACATTTGTGCAAAAATAAGAATTAGAATGCTCCCTGCTGCTGCCAATGTCAGCAAGACTTGCTCAACCATTTTTCCTCCTCCTTCATATATTGCTAAGGCAACTCAAGCTGAACTGACTCCCTCATTTCAAAGTCAACTTCTGGGTGGATGACTCTGTGGTATGGATAACAGCAGGAGGAAATCTTCTAGGATGCGACCATCATATCACTGGAGAAAGAAAGACTTCAGGGAGGTCTGTCATTGCTCCTCTTTCTGCTTTTGGTGGAACTAAACTTTATCCTGCGATTTAGCATGGAAATTTTAGTTCTGTTTCACCCTGTGTTAACATCATACAAGAGCTTAACCCCGGCCTACAACTCTGTCAACAATCTGTTGACAATGTTGTCTGGTGGCTTCTGGTAGCTCTGTTTCAAGTTCCAACTAATTTTCCCAAGCTCTGAATGACTTTATCGATGTATTAATTCAATTAAAATAATCTGACAAGTTTTTTAAAACATGCTAATGAACTCTTGTTTCTATAAAAGATGCTGCCTGTCTTAGTCTGGCAGAGCTCCTTCCTTCTGTCCTGACCAAAGTAAAGCACTACTAGCCAAAATATTTTTGTGACTGTTGCTTCTTATGCAGTCAGAACTGCACCATCCATCTGCCTTGGCAGCCTCAGCTCAGCAGCGTAAATTGGCAGAAAGCAAAAGACTTGCTCTCCTGCCAGCACTTGACCCACTCTGCTATATCCATGATGTCCAGAATAAAGGTATCAGAGTGCTTGAGTGCAGACATTCCCTCAGGAGGGTGGTTAGCTTGACACAAATCACCTTGTCAGTATGGGGTAGCAGCCAAAAACAAAATGCATCAGGACTTCCTGTCCCCACTGGCTTTGTGGGACTCAGTTCATATGGATAAATAGGCACTGAGCCTGATACACTTGTACTTCTTTTGCACCCTTCATATACTCATATCAGTCCCATTCTAAAATTCAGAAGATAGGATGGATAGAAGTTCATCTAGAGTCATCTCAACAGAGGAATAACACATTATTGATAGCTATATAACTGCTAAAAGAACAATTCATATTTTCTCACAGAGCAAAGATTATGAGCAGTTGCCGGCAGATGTGAAGAAGATAAGCTTTCCATAGCTAAGAGAAAGATCCAATGAGGCAACCTTGAAAATTCTTCCCTTTCACCATTGGCATCTCTTTTGTGCAAAAAAAAAAAAAAGCAGGAACATTCATTACTGGGGAGCTGAATAGATGGGCTCAGATGATAGCTCCTAGGAACCAATTAAAGGGGTTAACTGAGCCATGAGACTTCATAAACGAATCCAATTTCTTTTTTCTTTATTTCCTTCTATAGCTCGGAGATAAAGCCTGGGGAAAATGCATAAGCTCTGGGATCTTATATAGTGACAAATGACTGTGTTACCACCACCAATAATGGGTCTTTCTTCCAGACATAAGGAACTGCACTGAGCTTCCTAGTCCTGTACAATATCACAAGAAAAAGAAAACATGAAATGTATAAGCAATATGAGAACAGTATATTAAACAAATGGAAATGCTCCCAGTGTTGGCAACAACCCTTTATCTAGCAAGCCAAAGTTTGACTCTCTGCCCTCAACTCTTTTTTCAAACTGAAAGCACAAACTCAAATGTTAAATTGAAGAAATTGCATGTCTCTTCTTTTAAAAACCTAAATCTAAAACATAACCTAGTGACTAGATTCAAATCCTGTTGACACTTCCAGCGAGAATATACCAATTGAACAGTGAATTAATACTTGTGGAAATTAATTTGAATCAATGACTCTACTGTTATAATCTACCAACAGATTACTATACATAATGAAGAAGCCAACAAGATCTTCTGTGTTTGCTAAACATCCATGGTAATTCATGAGCTCATAAATGCTCAACAGGATGCTACCAGTATTGTCATTAGAATATATGGCCCTTTTCTATACTTACCACTGCAATAAAAAACTGAACAAAGAGAAAGGAGATCAGTGTAAGGGGAGATCAAAGGGTCAAAATGTCACATCCACATGCCACTACCAAACTCATACCTCCTAATCTTAATAAGTAATATTCTTGCATATCAGGTTGACCTGTTGGAACTTTAGCTCTCAGTCTTTCTTGACCTGAATGTCTGGGAGGACCAGCCAGAATGTACAGAGGAAGCACTACGCATCGGATGACAGCTTGACTGAGGTTGGCCAGGGTCCCTGGCAACATGTTGGAAACATTACACAAATGCAAGCTACTCCATTGAAATGGAGTGTGGGGTTGGCACGTGAAGCAACAGAAAAAACTTGGAGGAGATAGGTATGAAGATCTAGAACACTTTAAGCCCCCCCCCCTTTTGATGGGATTTAATTTTACTTTTCACATGATGCAAATGTTGAGGCACTCTATTAAAAAGTGATGTTAAGAGAAGTAACTGTCTAAATGAGAAGGTAGAAACAATAAATCGAGTTATATACACATGAATTAAAACATGTTCATACCGTCATGAATCCATCCAGCAACCCTGAATCAGGCTTTGGAGGTGCCTGTAATCGTTCCATGGACCACTTTTCAATGATGGATGACACCTGGCTGTTTTCAGTGTTCAAAATCCTGAATCCAGTCATATTAACCCCACTGTACCGATATGGTTCCACATCAAGAGCAAAGAGGTCCTAGAGAAAAGAAGGGAAAGATGAATATTTGTAGATTAATCAGTGCCCCCCCCAAAAAAAAAATCTCTTTAGATTTTATGCATTTAACTACTAAGAATGTACACTCAAACCTCTGAGGATGCTTACCATAGATGCAGGTGAAACGTCAGGAGAAAATGCTTCTAGAACATGACCATATAGGCTGAAAAATCTATAACAACCCAATGTACACTAAACTTACAGCATAAATTGCTCTCATTTTTCCTGTTTCTGTTTATCTAAATGTGCATTGAGAGACTGAATGGTGATTATTAAGGTGCATTTATGAAAACAAGTAAATCACAGAGTTTCATCCATTGTTATTTACTAACATATATTGCACAAATTCATTTAATAATTCTTCTCTAATGCTTTATCAGATATTGTAGATGAGAAAATAAACAGAAGTTGGTAGATCCAACTCATTTTTTGGCACTAACACTATTATAGAACCTCTTCACATGGAATTCTTTTCAGCAGCAGTGGCAGGATTTGTCATGTTTGGTCAGAGAGTCCAAGGTTCCTATCATTCCTTTCAGCACGTTTTTTTTTTCTGAACTGGGTTCTGTGAATCCAGTGTGTAATCCGAGACAATGCATTAGCTGATCCAGAACCAATGACTTCCTCTCACACTCACATAACTCACAGAATAGTTTGGAAGACAAAGAGCACAGAATGAAAGCTAAGTGTGCTACCCTGAGCTCATTAGATAGAAAGTAAAACATAGCAAAAAATATCAGAAAGATGCCAGTTAAAATAATAAAATGAATAAACCACCTGCAGATACTATGATCTGCAAAGTGCTTCTCTGTCTCAACTGCCAAGACAATTTTGTTGCCTTTGGACACGTTTCATTTTGGCTTGAATGGTAGAGTGGTGTGTGTAGTCACAAGGGGGGGGGGGAGTTCTTGATTAGTCACCATATATGCCTGGTGGGGTGCCATCTGATTGATTGGGTTAAAAGCTGTTTGTGCTCTTGCCCCTTTGGGGAATGAAACACCTAGCTCTGTGTATTTTAGGATTGCAATGAGAAGGGGAAACTGTCTGGAGAATAAGAATCCTGTATCCTGTTTACATAAGGTGTGTGTCTTCAGCAATATGTGCCTTTCTGTTCAGTTAAGATTATACTCCAATTATAAGGAGGCTTCTGGTCAGTAGAAATGGATGCAGGCAGTCCGGGGGRAAGGACTGATAAAAAGATTCATTGCATGAATCTGCCTTCTGTTTGTGCAGTTTTCATATAATTTTATTGCAAATATATGAAGAATGGAGAAGGGTACAAGAGTGGATATAGAACAGGGGCATTTAAAACATCYTACATCTTCATCTTATCCCATTTAGCCCCTGACACGATAAATAAATAAATAAATTAAAAAAATCTTATCCCATTGTTCTCATATACAAAAAAGTTTCTATGGTGTTAAWAAAAAGGGGGGGGGGACATTTATTTCCTAATCTAAAACAGAAGGATAGACGTGTTTGATAATACTTTGGCCAATATCCTTGAGAGATGGCATACACTCGCATTACTCCACAGCATTTCTGTCAGTAAGAAAGGAGGTGGTCAGACTGACAGGGGGAGAGTAGAGATGTGTCTTCAGATTACTTTGGGATTACAACAGGAAACTGCATTATTTGGAGCACACATGCCTAAGGTGGTCTTGGCATGCCTTTTATAAACTGGAAAAAAGGTCCATGCATACAAGTGGAATGTCTCTACTCTTCGCTGGGATATTCAATGGAACACCATCTTCTTTATAAAACACTTCCCAAAGACGGCCTTTTATGGCTTGGTGCCTCTGGCCAAATAAAACAATTCACCTTGCTATTTCTGCAAAAAATGCACACAATGTTTGCCTGATTTGCATCAGAAGTTCCACTTCAAGACACTAATCAGCATAAGGGGAACTATAATTTACTCCAGAGAGTTCAAAAGCCCCAGAGTGACCTCAGGGTTTTTGAAATGTGGACAGCTGGGTCAAACTAGATCTGGCCCAATCCAGTGTCCATGCATCAAACATACCCACTACTGTGTTACTGACTAGAAGAAGCTCCTCCCTCCACCACAGCCCTGTTGATGGTGTCACTTCTGCTGTTTATATGGCTGGGCACCCTATTATGACCTCAGGACCTCATCAAAAGTGATGTCACCAGCAACACTCTGTCAGAGAGCTACCTTAGACTGGCAATATCATGGTATATTGTTAAAGGCTTTCATGGCCAGAATCACTGGATTGTTGTAGGTTTTTCTGGCTGTATGTTTCTAGAACATGGCCATATAGCCCAAAAAACCTACAACAAAATATCATGGTGGTACTACTGCTGCCGGCCGGCCAACCATCTGAATTAGCACAGAGCTCCAGGGTACTTCTATGCTTAATCTGAAGTAACTACAGAGCACAATCATCTGGATTGTTCCAGTAGATGTAGAGGCAGATGTCTCAATTGAAGGGGGTTACTTTTGAGTCCATGCTGGGAAGGAGGAAAAAGGTATTTGGACCATCATTTTTTCAGAGGGAAGAGTATTAAAAGAAAGGCTTCTGCATTCTGAATATCTGATTATTTTGATTTTATCAGCTAGGGGCCCTTCCACACAGCCATATAACAGAATATCAAGGCAGAATAGCCAGCAATATCCTCTTTGAACTGGGTTATCTGAGTCCACACGGCAATATATCCCAGTTCAAAGCAGGTAATGTGGGATTTTATTCAGCTGTCTGGAAGGAGCCTAGGATAAATGCCAGATCTGTACTGAACCAGGCAGAACTAGAATTCTTTTATCAGTGATAGGTTAGACATGGAGAAGAAATCTAGCAGTAGTAGTGGAGACATCAAGGTACCCAAGGATAGCCTCAGTTAAGATCTTGAGAGGGAAGGTGTAAATCACTAGATAGATGATCACTACAGTTTTGATCAGCTTTGATACTACGTGGTCCTCCAGATGTTCTAGAACCACAGCCTTATCCAGCATAAGTAAAAGCACAGAATGCTGTAAGTTGCAGTTCAACAAAATTTGGAGGATACACAGTTTTTACTCCTGGTCTAGAGTGCTTCTGAATTAGCTTTGATTGGGCTGAAATTAGTATGGACAGAATCTTTCTTGTTCATTAAAATGAGATTCAAGTGAGGGGGCAGGTTAGCAACTGTAATCTTTCCAAGAAGTATACAATGAACAAGTATGTTATTCATACTGAAAAGGGGCTACAATAAAAATATATTATAAATGAGAATTAGTGTTTACAGTATAAGTATACTATAGTACAACTTTTCATTGCTATATAGATTTTTTGAGGGTTCTCCAGTTACTTTTTAAAAATATCTAACTGCCCTTGCATGCATTGTTAAGGTTTGTAAAGGGATAGGACAAAGAAAAAAATAGGAAAAAAAAGAATTGCATATATTTATTAATAGATGTATTATTCTATATATTCTACACTTAAACCTTAACTCATCTTTATCATCAGGCATTGTGAAGAAAGAGACAGAATGAATATGGGAGGAGATATCCAAAATTTCTCAATAATAAAATTATAAAGATGGCTTATTGTGTAAGCAAAGTGCACAAGACAGTTCTGATTATTTGGGGTGGGGGGTGATGAGGACTCACAACCTCTGCCTGTTGAGCAATTTGTCCAGGAGCAAAACCATATGAATGAATGCCTTGAAATCTGTTTCCTTTTAAATTTGGGAGACCTCCAAAACATCTTGGACAATTGCATAAGTAATTATGTAATTTAAACACATTCCTGTTTACTCAAAACTATAATAAATATGCTCAACAGTTCACAGAGAATTAATGAGCTATTACATTAGACTTGAAATCAATCATGAAAAAGTACACTTGCAAACAGCCCAGCTAAACACTGTGACCAGAAAATTTATTGGACAAGACTTTCTCTGTGTCAGGTAAGAAGTAATTAATAAAGGAGAGGAGCCAAAAATGATGCAGGTTGCATGGCTCCATTGAGCAATAAAATCTATCATCTGCTGTTGGCATATCTCAAATTATCCTCAGTCATCAGCAGTTGAAGGTTTATCTCCTATTCTTCAGTAAAAAAAAAATACAACCCACCTCCCACCAACTTCCATCTTCCCCAGGTCTAATAAGGAAATGGACCTATTTAATTAGGTCAGAAGCCTGACAGTTAAATATAAAACTTGTAATGTTTTATTTATGTGATTGCTTCTTTCACTGAATTTATTTATTACACGGTTCCCTTCCTATTTCCCCAAAGAACTGAGAGATTTACTTTTGGTTCTCCTACTGCCATTTCCCATTTAGGGATTGTCTCATCATACAATTCAATCACTGATGCATCTCTGAATGTAGATATTCGTCATTGAATACCAAAGTCATAGAATCATAGAATCAAAGAATTGGAAGAGACCTCATGGGCCATCCAGTCCAACCCCCTGCCAAGAAGCAGGAATATTGCATTCAAATCACCCCTGTCAGATGGCTATCCAGCCCCTGTTTAAAAGCTTCCAAAGAAGGAGCCTCCATCACACACCGGGGCAGAAAGTTCCACTGCTGAATGGCTCTCACAGTCAGGAAGTTCTTCCTCATGTTCAGATGGAATCTCCTTTCTTGTAGTTCATGACCATCATAAAGATCATTGATGCTATAGCAATGTCAATTTTCTGCTGATAGCAAGAAGGTCAACTAGAATAGTGCTGAAAGACAGTTCTACAGATACCATGGACTATTGAATTAAATAAACAATCAAGAAAATGGACCCAAGAGCATGAATTTTCTCTAGATGCCACAATGACTAAACTAAGGCTATTATACTTTGGACATACCAGAAAATAACATGACTGAGTTGAAAACAAAATTATGTGAAGTTAAAGGAAGCCATTAAAAACAGATCGATTAAGTCATGGCCTTAAGTTTAGGTTACATAAACAGGGTTCTTATTTACAGTCTCTTGAAGGTCTATCATTCATATGGTTGCCACAAGTCAAAGCCAACTTGACAGCACATGCAAAAATAACTGACTTTGCTTCAGCCACATAACTCTATCACATGGCGTCACATCACTGGAGGTAGGGAGAGGGCTAAATATGTCACTGGCTAAATATGTAACAAGCACATCCTAATTATTCAATAGATTATCATATATATCCTAAAGAAAGGCACATCAAGAATGTATGTAATGCAGAGACTCCTTTTTCAGTCAAATCTAATCTGACAGGCTTCTCTATCGCAACAAAGCTGTTATGTGAAGCAATATCTATATATTTTCTGCAAGCATATACACTGCCTTCCATACCAAACTAACCTGGCTGGCCTTAGGGATTTTGAACTTTGACTTGAGTGCTAGAGTCATTCAATATTGGATGCAACATGTTTTGGGTTTGACTTGACTTGAGTCCATGGAAGCAAAATGCAGCTCCAGAACTGCCATGAGCAACTTGTTTTCGTCCCCTATTCAATCAATTCAGAAAATAAAAAGAGGTTCATGTATGTAACCACACTGAAATACTACAATTTGGAATATGTTTGGTTCTCAGACTTACTGTACAATTGGGTTGTAGGTGTTGGAGAAAAACAGAGAAAGTATAGCATGAACACATATTCTCTATATTGTAATATAGTGTGCCTTCCTGGGAAGTGGGAGAAATTTGGATAGATCTTGTTGCCATTTCCTATAGGCACTGGAACATTACAAGCAAAAGTATAGGAGTGTGATATAAATTATTTATCTTTCCATGATTACTTAGGCGATCCCGCATTGGGCGAGTAGGATAGTCTTCCAGGATCAGTATTCTTGTGGATCCGTAGGTGACTGTGGAGCCCTATTCTTGATCTGCATCTTCTCCTGAAGTGAGGACATCGGTTTCCAGGTGGAAGGCGGTCCCGGTCGGGGTTGGCTTGACGTGCCTTCCTCTTGGCACGTTTCTCTCTTTCCCCTCCATTCGTGCCTCTTCAAATTCTGCAGCACTGCTGGTCACAGCTGACCTCCAGCTGGAGCGCTCAAGGGCCAGGGCTTCCCAGTTCTCAGTGTCTATGCCAGAGTTTTTAAGGTTGGCTTTGACCCATCTTTAAATCTCTTTTCCTGTCCGCCAACGTTCCGTTTTCCGTTCTTGAGTTCGGAATAGAGCAACTGCTTTGGGAGACGGTGGTCGGGCATCCGGACAACATGGCCGGTCCAGCGGAGTTGATGGCGGAGGACCATGCTTCAATGCTGGTGGTCTTTGCTTCTTCCAGCACGCTTGTTTGGTCCGCTTGTCTTCCCAAGAGATTTGCAGGATTTTCGGATGGAATCGTTCCAGGAGTTGCATGTGACGTCTGTAGACAGTCCACGTCTCGCAGGCATATAGCAGGGTTGGGAGGACAATAGCTTTATAAACAAGCACCTTGGTCTCCCTACGGATGTCCCGGTCCTCAAACACTCTCTGCTTCATTCGGAAAAATGCTGCACTCAGAGCTCAGGCGGTGTTGTATTTCGGTGTCGATGTTGACTTTGGTGGAGAGGTAGCTGCCAAGGTAGCGGAAATGGTCAACATTTTCTAATGTTACACCATTAAGCTGGCATTGGAGAGGGATTGGCTGGTGACTGCTGGAACAGCACCTTGGTTTTCTCAATGTTCAATGACAGGCCGAGCTTCTCGTATGCTTCTGTGAAGGTGTTTAGAGTGGCTTGTAGATCTTCTTCTGAATGCGCACAGACGACATTGTCATCAGCATACTGGAGTTCTATAGCAGATGTTGTTGTAACCTTGGTTTTGGCTTTCAGTCTGCTGAGGCTTGCCATCTGTCCGATAGATGATTTCCACTCTGGTGGGAAGCTTCCCATCAACAAGGTGAAGTATCATAGCGATGAAGATGGAGAATAAAGTTGGGGCAATAACACATCCCCGTTTGACACCTGATTCCACCTTAAATGGGTCACTTTGGGAGCTATTGCTGTCCAAGTCTGTTACCATCATGTCATCATGGAGGAGCCGCAGGATGTTCACAAATTTGTTAGGGCACCCGATTGTTTCGAGGATGGTCCAGAGAGCGCTGCGATTCACTGTGTCATGCCTTTGCAAGGTATTCCATCATGTAATAGTGGCTCTTCATATGTACACTCATTTTTAAGATATGAATAATAGAATCACAGAATTGGAAGAGACCACATTGATCATCTAGTCCAACCCCCTGCCAGGCAGGGAAAGTACCCCTGACAAATGATAATTCAGCCTCCATTTAAAAGCCTCCAAGGAAGGAGCTTCCACCACACTCTGAGGCAGTGAGTTCCACTGTTGAACAGCTCTTACAATCAGGAACTTCTTCCTAATGTTCAATTGGAATCTCCTTTCCTGTAATTGAACCCATTGCTCTGAGTCCTAGGGATAGGGCTAGGGTTAGGAAAGAAAACAAAACTGTTCCCTCTTCCTTATGACATTATTTCAAATATTTTTACATGGCTATCATGTCTCCTCTCAACCTTATCTTCTTCCATCTAAACATACCCAGTTCTTTAAGATGATCCTCATAGGGCATGGTCTCCAGACTTTTGATCACTTTAGTCACCCTCCTCTGACCTTCCAGCTTGTCAATATTTCTCTTAAATTGTGAGGCCAGTATTCCAGGTGAGGTCTGATCAAAGAATCGAAAGGCATCATGCCTTCCCTTGAACAAGACACTATACTCCTTTTGATGAAGTTCAAAATCACATTTTTTTAGCTACTGCATCAAACTCTTGACTCATGTTCAACTTGCTGTCCAATAAGACTCCAAGATCTGTATCACATGCACTGTTGTTGAGCCAGGTGCCACCCATCCTGTATCTGCATTTCATTTTTTCTGCCTAAGTGTAGTATCTTACTTTTCTCCTTGTTGAAGTTCATTTTGTTAGTTTTGGCTCAACTGTCTAATCTGTTAAGGTTATTTTGAATTCTGATCCTGTCTTCTGGAGAAGCTATCCCTCCTAATTTCATGTCATCTGCAAACTTTATAAGCATTCCCTCTAAACCTTTATCCAAGTAATTTGCAAAGATATTGAACAGAACTCGGCCCAGGACAGAACCCTATATAATGGATAAAAAGTGAAGGGAAAAAACTTAGACAAGATAGGGGATTGGATAAAGGTTGGAATGAAGAAGGAAATGATTGTGGCTGTCACATACATGCATGATCAATGCACAACCAATGCATGAACAGCACCCACTTGCACCCACACAAAATGAAGCCCACAACAATCTGAAGGACCATAAACCAGCCCTCCACTTTAAATGTTTTGGGACCCCTGACTTAGAGTAAATATTTAGTACCTCTTAGTCTACCAGAACTTTCTAAACTATTTTTAGAAGCTAAATTTTAAAAACGACACAGTTAAAACCAATCCCAAAAGCCAACTGTAAACCTGTTTTTAAGGACAAAAGGTTACGCAAAACAAAGTAGTCTTGGCCAATTTCAGGAATTTCTATGGGTATGAAATCAGACTGACTTCTTCAGATGGAGTTCCATAACTTGCTATAGAAAAATAACTGTCCTGTGAATTTATCAGCTTAGGACTTCATTCCACAAGTGGGGGTGAAAGCAGAGGGAACCGTCTTACCCTGTTCCCTCCCAATTTTCCCCATCTTCTGGAATGGCCAGCCATCTCACATCCCTTGTGCATCGATGTCTGTCTTTCCCTCCTTTCTTCAGCTTTTCTTGATTTCAGGCTCTGTTTTCACAATCTGTGGAAATGGAGTCACACCAGAAGTGCCCTTACTTCATGTGATAGCTTCCGCGGGACTCCATTTCCAAAACGTATGGAAGCTGAGCCCCAGGCATGTAGCCCGGGGGGGGGGCTTCAGCCCCCCCGAAATTCTCATGGTGGTCCGCGAGAAGGCCTTACTGGTACATTATTTAAACTGTTATGTTTATTCATATCATGATCTGATCACCATGCTCAATATATTCCATATGCATGGGGGTATTGGGGTAACGATACAAAAGGTTTGCTAGGGTAGACCCTCTTTCACTCAGACTCAGCCCCCCCCCGAACCAAACTCAGCCCCCCCCCTCCCGCAACAAAATCCTGGCTACGGGCCTGCTGAGCCCTAAACCCTAGCCCCTTGAGCCAGATAGTCATGCAACAGTGCCTCCACTGAAGATCAACAATTCCAGACAAATCTGTATAGGAAGATATCATCTTTAAGTATCCTGACCACAAAATATGTAGGGTTTTACAAGTCAACCCAGTACCACCAAAGTTTCTGCAGTTGGTAGAGGACGACTGATATGAAGATCATCGTTTGTGGTTTTTAAACACACAACAGACAACAGTTTGGTAGTCACATTTTTCAGCAGCAGTACCCTCCAAACAGTCTTCAAAGGGAGTTCCACATAGAACACCTTACGGAGATCTAATTGGGAGGTAATTAAGGCATGACCCACAGTGGCAAAATCTGTTTTTTCTTAATTACGCACTGCAGTCCTTTTTTTAAAAAAAAAAAAAGAAGAAGAAGAAGTCTGCAAATCCCTGCCAGATTTCAAGAATAATATTTCTAAGCATTAATTAAACTATCCTCCGGAGCTTTCATGGCAATGCATCAAAATCAAATGGAGAACACATTTACTACTTCTCCCCTCCTGTTCCTTGGAGGCCACTTTCACTTTGTCAAGTAATATAATTAAGAAAGCAAAGGCCTTTGTCTGAGTCCATCAGCACGTTCTTATAAGCTACTTACCAATGTGGTAAAGATGTAATGATAGTATTCCGTCATCATTCCCATTGCTAGAGCCTGAAAAGAAGATCCAGTACATACATTATTAACATTTTATAAGTCACATAACATTGCTTTTGATATTCCTAAGGTTACCCATAACACTGTTTTTAATCACACCTATATGAATAATGGAAAGCTCCCAGAGGAATATGACTCAGAAGAAACTATAGGGCTGGAATCATACTAAAATTAGGCCAAGCAAATCATTCCTTAGCAGTTAAAGAAGATTACTGACTATTAAAGGAATTTATGAACCAAATCTGTTGATAGAAAGATTATTTGTAGACTGTTTAGAGCTGCAAATGTGAAAGAAGCTTATAATGTTTTTGTATTAATGGGAACATTTCAGTTGTCAACCAAAATTTCAAAGGAGGATCATTTCTTTAATGGTGTGTATTATATGTCTTCACTAGAAATGAGTAAGTAAGGGAAATACAATGTTGTTGCAAGAAAATGATATTATTTAATCAAAAAGGCATTAGGTATTGGCAGCTATCTTTGAACACTTGAATTAGCTATAGCAGCACTATGTTTGAGCACCAAAAATCACTTTTCTTAGCATTAATGGTTCGTATCAAAACACTAGGGATACAACTTTAAAAAAACACTGTCCAGCCACAAGTGTTTTTTAATCTTTCTAAACAGGATTTTAACTATAGTTATGTATTTCATATTTTTCATAATAGGTTTTTGATTAATGGGTGAAGCAAATTCTAAAATGGCACTGCTTCTAAACTAGTAGCTTCCTTTGCCCCTTTAAAAAAATTGTCACAAAATCAAACTGATAGGGCTCACCCAAAATATTTCACTGACAGAACAAAACAAAAGTTGATGTTCCCTACGAACCGAAGTAGCCACAAACATATAAATAATGTTTAGCACCAGAGGCGGAAAATCTCACCAGCAGTAACAGTACAATAATGACAATCAAAATAGCCAAATCCCAATCATTCAAGAAAACTCAAATCTGCTGCCCAAGATGGTCATTTAATTTTGTATAAATAGGCCTGTGTGAGCAATGAAAAAATGTTTCAATACTCATTACATTAGTAGGGGATGCTGTTGATTTGTTTCTAAAGTGTTTCTAAAACATCGTGTCCATTTCGTATTTGCGCATGTTGGGGGGGGGGGGGGGGGGGGTTCCAGGGCTTCTTTCTCACTCAGTTTTAGAGCTATTGGGATTAAATGTGATACAATGGTAGAACATATTTACCACTGTTACTCTCCCAAGTTTCAGAATGTTATACCCATACATTGATCTTTTGGGAATTTCCAAAGGTTTCTTCAAAAAACCTTTTTTAAATAAAAAGAACTACAAGAGCTATGCCCTCTAATTTCTCTACATTTACACAATGGAACCAGGGAATAATCCCCCCCCCCCCCAAGTTTAATAACATTTGGGTCATCCACTTAGTTTTAGGAAATTTTTAAAGTTTTAGAAATAAAATAACTACTATGGAATAATGGAAGGAAAACCAATTTAAAAATCSATTGTGGGAAATAATCAATGTTTGAAAGCCACAGCTAGCAAGCAGCTAGTCCACCTTTCTAAAATCTTTTAATATTAAGAAAAAGTATTCACTGTCTAATGGGAAAGTGAGAGTGCTGCTTCCACAAGTAATGCTGGGTTGGTGATCACCAGCTGTATTGATTCAGAAGGTGACAGATGTGGAGATAACAATAAATTATTATAATAAAAATAATAAACAATAAAAATAAATAATGGTCAATGACCATACCCCCTAAAAGAGGTAGTAGTACTAGTAGCACTAGTATTAATATTAAAATGTACAAATTTTCTGGGATGTGAAGGAGAGGGTTAAGGGGCTACATGTGATTGACCACCATAGATGCAGGCACACAATGCACACAAATAAGTAAACACTCAGCAGCTCAGTAGCCCTCAAAGATTGTCTGAAATGCAGCAAAAAACATAAAACAGACATAAGGCAAAAGGTGCCTGCCCATTCCCCAAAAGAGTAAGCAAACAGTAAGGAAGCCTTTGCCAGGGCCTGTCTAGCCTATAATGTGCAAAGCTTCTCTCCTTCTCTTTCTCTGATGCAGACTCGAGTCAGCCTCAGTTTAAGCTAAGCTAATCGAGTTTCCTTCTCTTCCTCTCTGACACAGACTTGAGTCAGCCTTAGCAAGCCTGTGGCCTATGCCTGCCTGCCTGCTTGCCTGCAAAGCTAAACTGAACCAGCGCAGAGCTTCTTTCTCTTTCCCTGTCTAATTGCAACTGGAGACTGTGGCGTGGTGCTCAGGAATTTAAAGAGCAATGGCCATGGCTCTGCCTCCTCTTCCCTCCTCCCTCAGCCCTGATTAACTGGAAGACATGGCAACTGGTGTTCTGAGGAAACACAAGGTTGAGATCTAAGCAATATTAATAATTCTTAAATTCAATTTTTTCCCTAGAAGTCTTTTAGCAGTGAAATGCACTGCATTTTGTTATCTGCAGAATCAATATGACAACAATTCTTGATGTCTTCAAAGACACTTGCAGAGATTTAACCAAGTTTTTCTATTTTTCTTGTCATTTTTCTTTCCACAGGGGGAAAAAACATTCAGAGGGGTAGGTGGAAATCACAGAAGCTACGCAGTGCCTTCTAACTGCTGGCACATGAATGAAAGACACAGACCATTAAACTAACAACATGCTATTACATACAAAATGAGTGGAAATGGAAAAAAATTCAAGTAACATTGTGAAATGAAGTTGCTTTCAAAAGTAGGAATGCTGTGTTTTTAAATTAACTAGTATGGTTGCCCTAACACCAGGGAAGAACAAAAATTATCCACAAACATACTCACACACATAATGCCAAAAATATGCTCCTAAGAACAAATTTTATAGCTGCACTTTGAAGTTAGTATTCCTTGGGGGGGGGGGGCGTGTTGGGTGGTGCCTTGCATATGGAAGTAGCTCAGACTACTCTATTTTGTACATCTGGAGCATTATGCAGAACAAGTCTTCTCTATTAAGTAGCAAGATGGGAAAGTGATAAATCAGCAAAGAAAAGCCTTTTACTATGTACAAAATAGAAGAGTTATAAAACAAGAGTTTCATTTTGCTTTAATCCTTCTATACCTCACATTTGTTTTTGCTGACAGGAGTGTTATTAAAAGCCACATTTGCTGTTCACCTGCACTATGTTGGTACACTATAAATAATGCAACTTGGATGATGGACTAGCTTATTGTTCAGGTGACCATGTTGAGTTTTGTTCTTGCTAACACCAACCTTGTAAATATTTTGGAAACCAAATGTTTTTAAGTGCATGGAAAAATCAAAGGAAGTCAGCAAAATTGGTTTTACTTTTAAGTTATAATTTTAAAAAAGAAGCTAGGGCTTGGATTCCACATTTTTCCTGCATGAATAGAAGTAACCTCCATTCATGGAAGGAGAGGTATTCATAAAAGGCTCTCTTCTGATGCTATGAAGATTCCTCTTATTAGTTCATCTCTCCTCCCATTTACTGAAGTTCTTTCTACATGCAGAGAAAAGGTATGATCTGTGTGTGACAACAGAGGGTATTAAGCACATCCTTCAGCATTCCCATCACTACTGCTCAGCCAATTGGATGGAGGCTGCCTACTACAAAAGCTTTTATTTTATGCAAACAGATGCAGTAAAAACAAATGAAGTTATGGTTAACCATGGTTAGTCCATCTGAATAGGTGGGAACCTCAGACTCTTCCAGATCAATGAGTTTTGGTTTGTACTTTAAAGTGATGAATCTATTTTAATGGTAGACTTCAGCATTTTGGATGGCGTTTCCTTAAAGTTCAGACTAACCTCCAGAATGGACATATCCCTCCACTATGTTCCAGATGTGATTTCACTCCAGCACTAAAGGGGTATCTTTACTTATTCAGGTATTTTTTTATTTTGTGTCAAAGGGATTGCATAAATAAATGAGAATAAAACTGATAAAATAAAGGGAGCATAAGCAGCCAAATAATTTTAGACCAAAAATGGGCAACAGCGGCTGCATTGTCTATAGCTTTAAATAGTTCTTCCTCTGTGCATGAGGCAGGGAATTGTGGATAAGCTAAGTTTTATTTATTTATTTATTTGCTTTGCTTGTATACCGCAGTTTCTCAGCCTAACAGGCGACTCAACGCGGTTTACAACAAGAATAAAAATCAACACGATATACAATATAAAACCACAAAAGCATAATATACAATATTAACACAACAGTAGATACAATATTAACACAACAGTAGATAACACAATACATCTCATAACAAGAATCATGATCCAATTCRTCGTCCGATTTTCCAATTCCTGTAATCCTGTAAGTTATTTGTTCTGCTCCACAATCACACAATGTGGAAACTTCTTCTAGATAGTGCCATTTTGCCAGGTTGTCTTTTGATCTGCCAACTGTTCAGGGACTTCCAGGTTGCCCATTATTGGTTTGCCCCTGGAGGAAGACCCTCTTATTCCAATTGGAATTTCCTAATCTTGCTGCCCACAGGGATATTATTGCTGTTGATGGGGAAATATTACATTTGATTCTACTGGGAGGAGGCTGATAGCCATACAGTGGGTGACTTTCAGTGTTCAACCTTATTTCTCTCACAATTGGCATCAACTTCTCATCTCACATTGAGGTGGGGGGCAATGCCAGCTAGCTGTAGCAAGTGTAGTTTTAAGACATCCTGTGATTATTCTACATGTCTCATTTAACGCTACAGTTTAGTCACCTGCTTCACATGGACAGATTTATGTCAGATGGGGCAGGCATACTCAGCAGTTGTGTAAGACAAGGCCAGGGCTTATGTTCTTATTAATTTATAGTTTGCACCCCATTTGCTATCAGTAAGTTTCTGCAGGATGTTATTGCATGCAGTGTTTTTTGTGCTTGGTGTTCGCAGTGTTTCCTAAATATTAGTGTTCCATTTAAGGTGACACCAAGATATTTAGGATGGGAACAGTGTTCAAGCTCTTGGTCTTCCCGGGTAAGCTTCAGTTTCTTGTTGACTTCATGGTTACGTACATGGAAAGCATACACGTTTGTCTTCACAGAGTTAGGCTTCAGGTGGTTATCTTTGTAGTAGCTGCAGAGATCTTTCAGGACTTTAGTAAATTGGCTCTCAACTGTTTCAAAGTCTATTGCTTGTGTTATCAGGTCAAGGTCATTAGCATATATAAAGTAGGGTTGTGCATGGATTTCATTTCCTCAGTTTTCTTCGATACCTTGGGAGCCTGGAACGGTCAGGGCCTTCCGGTACGAAAGAAAGAAGCAAGAAGGAGCCGATCTCGACTCCTCCTCCTTCCCTATTCAGCAACTTTTTTTCTCTTTCACTTCCTCTCCTTCAGGATAGACTTCTAAAAGATCATTAATAATAATGATCCCAGCAAACAAAAGGAGAAGCCTACCTCTTCTCTAGAATAGAAAGTAGAAACAGTTCTAAGGAAGCAAAACCAGCAAGCAGAAAGGAGATTGCAGGCAGGGAGGCAAGTGAGGGAATGCTTAAGGTAGTCCAGGGAGGATACAGCTACACTGAGATCCAGGTCATCACTCTTCCTTCCCTGGGCCTCCTTAAATGTGTTGGAAAGCTACCATTTTGGGAGAGAAGACAGTGTGCACCTGCCTCTCCTCTAGAGTAGAACAGCTTTCAGAAGCAGTAATCCCAGTCTCAATCTCTACAAACAGAAGGGAAAGGATCCAGAAACTTAAGCGTGGTAACTGATGCTTTTTTAATTCCAAGTCTTGATGAATGATATAGAAGGGAAGTTGGCTGGAAATCCAGCCTCTGGGCTGGATAGGGTGTTTTCTTAACTCCGTTGCTGACACCCGGCTTCCTTGAAAGGAAAACAGGAAAGGCTCCCAAGAAGGGTGTTTTCTTAACCTTATTGCGGACACCTAGGCTCCCTTGAAGGGAAGAAAGGAAAGGCTCCCAGAGGAAAGAGGAGCCTCATAAGTTCCCCATTGCCACTAATGGGTCAAAAACAACTAGGGTTTTTTGGGTGCTGACCAAAAACACCCATTTGGCAGGGCGCCCCTTTTTGAGAGGTGCTGGAAAATGGATATGTGGGGCTTCTGATATCCGGCAAGCAGAAATGGATAGTGATTCAATAGAAATGCACAAGCCTAATATAAAACTCTTTGTGAATGGTGGCTGTGGCTGATCGTTAGTAAATATGTTAAACGAGGTCAGCGCAAGAATGCTGCCTTGAGGTAGACCATTATTTTGCCTCCTCCATCTACTTTTCCTGCCCTGAAACTACACATAGAAGCTGCTGTTTTCTAGGAGGGTCTGGATAGTTTTTGTAAAAGCATAGTCCCGGGTGATATGATGGATTTTATGCAGTTTTTTCCTATGTTGCACTGTGTCATAAGATACTGTAAGGTCCACATAAACTGTTCCCATAATATAACCTTTCGCATAGCCTTCCTCAATATACTTGGGCAAGGTAAGAATTTGAGCTGTACAGTTGTTTCTCTGGTCTGCAGCCTGCTTATGGCATCCTTCCGTACATTTTATACAGATGACATAAAAAGAGATTGGTTGGTAGTTCTTGGCATTGGAGGTTTTCTTTATGAGGTTTTAAAATGGCAATAATCTTAGTTTTCCACCATAGTCTGGGCATCTGTTTATGTACCAAACATTAAATTCAATAAAGATTCAGTAAAGATTAACTTACAGGCACATCCTGATTGGAGGGTCCTAGCACAATCCCGTTATTACTTTGATGCTGTACAAAGCATGTAGAATTCCAGTTAACTTTAGGATGCGTTCAGTGAAATAAACAGATTAGTATAAATTAAATTATGATTAAGTAAAGATTCCGTAATCATTCAATAGATACTAATCTGAGGTTCAAAATGCCTTTTATCATCTTTGGTTGATACCACCCAGACCTTGCCTGGATGGAGAAGATTTTACATTTTGACATATTGAAAATAAAAATATCCAAAATGGAAAATATTTTTTCCATTTTAAAATAACTTATCCATTCTACTATGTATCTAATGTAAACTTGAGCATTCATAAATTTTGTTATCCATGGGGGATCCTGGAATCAAACCCCAGTAGATACCAAGAACCACAGCATTTTGTTATATATATTGACTTTCAACCTATGTGAATGATTGTGATCAGGTTGCCAAAATTATTCCCACTTATCACAGGTAGATCTCTAAATCTTGAGATACATTTCAAAGATCCCGAGTTGAATACCTCTATTGAATGACGTGAGATGGGTAACTAATCTCTGGTGGACTACAGCCTACCCAGAGATGTACATCCACTGTCACCCCTATAATCTTTTCTATTATCTGATTGCATAATCCTCAAAGGCTTAAAATATGGGGAACAGCAAGTTATATTTTGTTAGTGTTTTTTAATGTTGTTTTTATTGTATGCTCTTGCCTTTTTATGTTGTATCAAATTGGTTTTCTTTTTCAACAAAAAGTGTTGGTTTATTTTAAGTATTTTAAGTAACCCATGGAGCTTTGCTGTGAGGAATTTACAAAAATAACAAGTGACAAAAATACATGTATACATTTTAGAGAAATGAAATAAAATATGGAATAAAATATAATAAAAAACAAAATACATTGTAAGTAGCTCAGGGAGCTTTGTTGTGGGTGGTTTGCAAATATAGCAAATGACATAAATACACACACATATTTGAGAGAAATAAAATAAAGCATATAAAATAAAATATAATAAAAGTAAATAAAATAAATTTTAAAATACTGCTACAGTTGTGTTGGCCACTTGGAATCGAATGCAGACTACAGTGAGCACGGAACACGTTAGAGTACATGGGGAAAAGAACAGAGTGCAAATCACCCAGAGCACACCAACACAGCAGCACTGACCAAGGTTTGGAAGGGCTCTATTTGAATTAAAACATCATTGCACAACAATAATAAGATGTGGACACTGAATCATTCTAGAGAATCATTCTCTCTAGGAATTTCTAGGCCCATTTTTACAAATCAATGATCAAATTCCAGTTGACCAGAGAATCATGTTGGAGGACCTGTAGGAAACATCAAAACTTGACCATAGAATCATGCTGGTGATAATACAAATGCTTAGATAAATGTTCTCTCTCGGAATCTCAAGGTCAGGCATCCCCAAATTGCAGCCCTCCAGCTGTTTGGGCCTCCAACTCCCAGAAGCCCTAACAAGCTGGTTCAATTGTCTCGAATTATGGCAGTTGAAGGCCCAAACAGCTGGAGGGCCACAGTTTGATGATGCCAGCTCTAGGTTCTCCAGTGTAACTCTGTGGTCAACATCCAACAGATATTGACCATAGAGTCATGTTGGAGAACATAGAGATTCTTCAAATATATTGATCAAATATATGAATAATCAGATCTGTAATAATTAAACCCACACATGTAGAGGGGGGACTATAATTAATTGAAAATTATGAAGCAATTAAAGCATAAGTGTTTCTTATTCTCCTCTAGTTTGCTATTTACCATGGCTTAGTGTTCTATGTTTTCTGACAGTAGTTATGGTTAGTAAAAACTAGACTTTATGATAACTAGGAATCCTTAAGATCTGCATTGTATGGAGGGGTAATATTTAGGAAAAGGATAATTACCTGCTTTAAAATGCCTGCTGCCATCTCATGACTACAGTCAAAGATGACATGGAATTCCTTGCCTCTTTTCATCTCCTTGAGCAAGGGCTTGGCATCCTTTGTGTCAGCTGGTAACTGGCGGATTTTGAGGCGCAGGTTGTATCGTGATGGTGCTTTAATGAGCTCTTGTAATCGAATAAGACCTTTTTCAGATTCAAAAAGAAAGAAAGAAAACATCACTTATAAAATATAAGTAAGTGAAATGGGAATGTGACTTTGAAGAAGCAATTGGCTCATCACAACCTCTGAAAAATAATAAAATAATAAAAATATAAACTTCATCTATATTCCACCCTATCTCCCGAAGGGGACTCAGGGTGGATTCCAACATACAAAAAGGCAAATTGTCAATGCCTCAATAACACAAACAAATGTTAACAAGCAATCCAAAATAACCCCACATATGAAAGCAACACCAGAACCTAACATCAATAAATTAAACAGAATGTAATCAACAATTTATGTAATGACATAAACTCTCCCCTCCCCCATGTGTCATCTTTTCGATGAACTCGCCATTATATGCACATGAAGATTTATGTTTAAAAATAGCATTCTGACTCTTAGCACATCCTTCCTACTTTGCTAATATTGATAGACATTAAGAAGCCTGAGTTGGGATTACCTTCTGAGATATGGATAAATCTTCCTTTCTGAGAATGAAAGCATTTTTCATCTAAGAATATGTAGCATTACTCTAATGCACTTACACCAAAATGCTACACTAATAGTTTATAATCACACTAATAGTCTAAATGACTAATCTATCAGGTTTACATGAAAATTCTGTTTGTTAGACCAGCATGGAACACCCTCATATAATCTGCACCAATGTTTTGAAGCAGCTTTGCCTCTTTAATCACGTAATTAGAATTGCCTGATTCATTACATCAATTCACTTGTCATATGCTGCATGGCAGGAGTTGGATTCAGTTGCTTTGATAACACAGAAAGGACCTTTCCATGCCCATTGACCAGCTGAGCATTCACAAGCACAGTCCCCAGAGTAATGTCCTGCAAAATTCCTTCAGCAAATCCAGACCCACTCACAAGGAAACTTGGAAACTGATCTTTATTTGCCCTAAGTTACTACAGCTCAGCAAAGTCACTAATGAAGCTCTCATGTGAAAATGCTAGCTTTCTACCCCTGCCCAACCCTTGCTCCCTCTCCTGGGTGTAGTACAAATCAGTCAGAGGGTGTTCTCATTCAACTTATCAGCCATTTTCTCACGAGAAACTCCCAGGTGTCCAGGTGTTATTTTTCTCCCCTCCCTGGCACCTCCCTCTGGCCTCGACTTGGTAGCATCCGCAAGTTAGATTCTGACCCTCTTGTAGCTTGCATGGACCCATGGGATGGAGATTTCCCTTGAGAGTTTAAAGTGTTCTGTCTCGGTGTTAACCTGTGAGTTTCATGACTCAGTGAGAACTACAACCTGAATCACCCCAGTACTGGTCAATAAACATGATGTAAAAATAGCTTTTGCACATCTAGAAGTGTAACATATGCTGATAACCATAGGACATACAAACTTCATAACCTTATACATAGCATAGAATCATAGAATCATAGAGTTGGAAGAGACCTAGTGGACCATCCAGTCCAACCCCTGCAAAAAATCAGGAATATTACATTCGAAACACCCCTGACAGATGGCCATCCAACCTCTGTTTAAAAGCTTCCAAAGAGGAGCCTCCACCACACTCTGGGGCAGAGAGTTCCACTGCTGAACAGCTCTCACAGTCAGGAAGTTCTTCCTCGTGTTCATATAGAATCTCCTCTCTTGTAGTTTGAAGCCATTGTTTCATGTCCTAGTCTCCAGGGAAGCAGAAAACAAGCTTGCTCCCTCCTCCCTGTGGCTTCCTCTCACATATTTATACATGGCTATCATATCTCCTCTCAGCCTTCTCTTCTTCAGGCTAAACATGCCCAGCTCCTTAAGCCGCTCCTCATAGGGCTTGTTCTCCAGACCCTTGATCATTTTAGTCGCCCTCCTTGGGACACATTCCAGCTTGTCAATATCTCTCTTGAATTGTGGTGCCCAGAATTGGACACAATATTCCAGGTGTGGTCTAACCAAAGCGGAATAGAGGGGTAGCATGACTTCCCTAGATCTAGACACTATGCTCCTATTGATGCAGGCCAAAATCCCATGGGCTTTTTTTTTTTGCCGCCACATCACATTGTTGGCTCATGTTTAACTTGTTGTCCACGAGGACTCCAAGATCTTTTTCACACATACTGCTCTCGAGCCAAGCGTCCCCCATTCTGTATCTTTGCATTTCATTTTTTCTGCCAAAGTGGAGTATCTTGCATTTGTCACTGTTGAACTTCATTTTGTTAGTTTTGGCCCATCCCTCTAATCTGTCAAGATCGTTTTGAATCCTGCTCCTGTCCTCTGGAGTATTGGCTATCCCTCCCAATTTGGTGTCGTCTGCAAACTTGATGATCCTGCCTTCTCGCCCTTCATCTAAGTCATTAATAAAGATGTTGAACAGGACCGGGCCCAGGACGGAACCCTGTGGCACTCTGCTCGTCACTTCTTTCCAGGATGAAGAGGAAGCATTGGTGAGCACTCTCTGGGTTCATCCATTTAACCAATTACAGATCCACCTAACCGTAGTTTTGCCTAGCCCACATTGGACTAGTTTCCTTGCCAGAAGGTCATGGGGGACCTTGTCGAAGGCCTTACTGAAATCCAGGTACACTACATCCATGGCATTCCTCGCATCTACCCAGCTTGTAACTCTATCGAAAAAAGAGATTAATCGGGCATGACTTGTTTTGGATAAATCCATGTTGACTATTAGCGATGACCGCATTTGTTTCTAAGTGTTTGCAGACTAGCATAGTCTGCAAACAATCCTTAACAATCTTTTCTAGAATCTTGCCTGGCATCGGGGTGATATTGTTCAGTCAGAAGACTGACCTACTATCAATAAGAAGACTGGAAGTTAACAATATACAGTACAGGAGTTGCTATTTGTCCTTCACTAAAACCTCTTCAGAGGAGATACATAAGCACTTCATTTAAAATAATGTTTTATAAGAACTTCTCAAAATTCTCAACATTTGTCATATACATGATGAAAGAACTTAAGATGTCAAAAAGTGATACATTTGTCCACCTGGAACTTCAGTTTAAGTTCTCAACTCTGGGAATCCTACATATTCATCTACTTTAATGCTGAATAAGCACTGACTTTTTTATTTTTCATGAGTAAATCCTCATATTTCACTCATAAATTGAAGCTAGGCAAAACAAGATTCTCTCTGTACAAATATTTTCTTACCTGAGATATAAAGTTTTAACATAGTCAATGGGAGAAGAGAACTAAGCTGACAGATTTTCTCTATTTCTATTTCTCACCAGGGATATAATGCTTGTATTTTTTCTAATCTGGTAAAAGAAAGGGATATCCCAATGGCTGAGATGTATTTAGAAACTATTAATAGGTTTTCCCCATGTCAGGCCACTATTCTTGGGGGAGAGGAATCATTTGTACAGAACATTTTTGCATTAAAAGGCAACACTGTGCCATAAAGTGTACCTCATCCAAAAGAAACTGTTTTCGGGGGGGGGGGGGGACTTCTGTGCAAAATCCACATGTTTTGCACAAACTTTTTTTTTTGCTTAAATGTTCTGAAGTTTAAAAAAATTAGAAAACGTACAAAATTATAGTTTGACCCTTTAGGAATCAAACACTTGAAAATGTTCATCTCTAAATGAAGACTTGCATAAGTGAACATTTATTTCCCTTCCGTTTTTTCTCCTTTTCCTGAAAGTCTCTGAGGCAGTCTCAGCACTTACATGGGATCCCATGTACTACTACTGGTAGAAGTCATAGAACCACCTCATCATCTCACGAAATTTCATCTATGTGAGCTTAAGCTTTCTTGAAGCCCACACTGCTTTTATCCCAGAACACCAGCCCACTATACTTGCTTAATCCCAAGAATCCATTCACTCACACATATTCCCAAAACTGAGGAAACAATGGCTTCAATTGTAATACGATTGTAATTCTACAGATAATAAATTCCATCTCTACATTATATTTTCTAACTCCAGAAGGTATAAGAATATATTCATCATTCATTTACAGCAATAATGCAGTTAAAAGCTAAGGATGGAGGGGTAAGGGGCAATTGGCTGGGGAGAGAGGAAACCAGATATTTTTTTTTCATACTGTACATTATAGTCATTTAGTCAGAAACATAGCATTCAGTCAAATCCTTCCTTGACAAAATATTTTTTTAAAAGACATTAAAGACCCTAGGGTAGAAATTCCCTTGAAAATTAAGATGGCATTTTAACTACACTGAACAAGAGGTTGTAAAATATCATTTTCAATCCCCTGGGAGAACTAAATGGCTGCAACTTTTAGAAAAAACACAACATATGGAAAATAGCATTCATCTTTGTAACATTCATTTTGATTCTTGATCTTTTTAAAAAGTCATAGCTGCAGAAGAGAAGGGATCCCTTTTGTTGTTATTGTTTCCTTAACTTTTTTTGACCTTTTAAACAAATTCCCCCTCCTTGTTTTTAGATGGGACTCTGCTTGGAGTCTTACAGCTCAATAGCTAGAAAAATGTCTGAGGAGTTCCTCTTTTCAGAAGTGGCCATCAATTCATGTTTAAAGAGAAATAGGAGGAGTGGTTTGCAAGCACTCCAGCTGGCAACTTCTTCTAAAGAGATCAATCACATCACCTCCTCTTCATGCTCCACTTCCACCAGCCCTGAGAAACAAGCATCCCAAATTTGCTCGAAATACTCAGGTCTCCTGTTCAGCAACCTTACATGCTACTGCCACGCCACCTGGCCAATCTGTCAAACTATTTATCATTCCCATTAATTCAGTTTGGGAATATTTCACTTTTAACAACAGCCTGTAAATATGGTGACATTTTTCAGTTCAGCTAAAAGCTGTTTCTGCATCGCCAGTTCAGTAAAACCCTTACATTTGTCCCTGTACAAAAGCAATACTTCTCACACCAAAAGATCATTCTTTATCTATTGTGTCCGTATGTAAGAGAGAGGGACAGAGGGAGAATGAAAAACCAACACAACTATTTAATGGTTACAGCAAAACTTTTCAGATTCTAGCTGCTTCAATTGTTCAGAATAAAAATGAGCTGTAA